CTTACTCCCTTGATACACCCATTCAGTTGCATTCAGTAACATTCAGTTACAGACAGTTCTCACTTTATGTAAGTAGACTGTTCTAGCGACCTCAGAGTGATTTTTATGCGGCATATTTCCCCACAGACATGGGGAAGAAAGGGGGGAAGGGAGGCAGGAAGGTAGCTATGTGCTGATGGAGGTAGAGGGCCAGCACATTGTTCAAGTGGGATTCAGGAACAGAGAAGTGAGAGCAAGAGGAGAAACATGCAGGGACTGAGCCAGCCACATAGGGGCCTGGCTGGAATCAAGAGGAAGAACATGTGGGGGCCAGATGTGGACACAGATAGAAGAAGACAGGTGACATACAGGGACTGGGGAGAGACTGGCTATACCCAAGTACAGATGGATGGAAGACAGACATATGGGGGCCAGACATGCGGACAGGTAGGCAGAATGGGGCAAAGGTCTTCTGTCTCTACACTGGTGGTCTCAAGCCAGGTCCCTAATCTAAGGGTGGTGGCTGCTTCTCTGCATCTCTGTGCTTGCTTTCACTTTTTTTTTAAAGGCTGTGGAGAGAGAACGTAGTACTGTACAGTAAAGTTAACATAGTTTTTTTTTGAGGAGGCAGATTTCTTTCAGAATTTTTTATGTAAAGTTCAATTTGCATAATGCAAATTTACATAAAGTGAGAATTGTCCATATCAGTTCTATTCAGGTGACTCGTGAACTTTGAGGCACTTCTCAGCTTCAGAAAGTGGAGGGGGGGGAGAAACTATAGGGGTTTAAGGATGGATAAAAAGTTTTAAAAAAGGAGGCCTGGTGAATGAGATCGTGAATTGATTATGAGGTGTAAAAGGATTGCCTTTTATAAGCCAGTGCCCAGTTGAGATCATGCAACAAATTTCTAATGTACCCAGTCAACATAATTTTGTGATATTTCCCCAGTTTCATTCAGCACTTCAGTAGGAACAAAGGCAACAAATGGTGGAAGTAATGTGAGGCTGCAGTTTGGCAGGGCTACACCTTCAAAAGGACAAAAAGGCAAGGAACTCAAGAGAAACAGATAGGATAGAGTTGAATTGGCTCACCAAGGGTCAGAATGGGGAAAAAAAGGAGAGTGTGGCTAGTGCAAGGGTGATGGCCTGGGAAAGAACTGACAAGTAGAGAGATCGAAGGTCGTAGTGAGGGTGAAGAACAGTTTGGAGTTGCAAGGCAAAAGGCAAGGTAGGGTGACAACAGATTATGACGAGATGAAGAATTTCATAGTTCATGCACATGGATGTAGAATACTTGTGGGTGATTGTAAGATCGCATCTCTTATGTATAGCTGTGGTGGGATAGAAGAAGTAGTCATAGGACATGAGTAATTTGAGGAATTGGAAGGTTAGTATGTTGCAAGACTATCAATATGTATGTTGAAGTCCTCTAATATGAGGGCAGGAGTTGGGAAGAAGAGAAAGATTATGAGCCAGGCACCAAGTTCATTGATGAAAGAGAGTGAATGTCCTGATTCTTGGTAGACAACAGCCACCAAAACCTAGATTGGTTGTTACATAGGAATTGAGTGAATCTCAGGAGAAGAGGTTACTTAGCGGGCGAAGCTAGAAGTGGTGATGGAGAATGAGAAGTATTCTGACTCTCTCACTTTGACTAGTGCATGGGAAGTGGGGGATACAAAAGAAAGTGCAACCAATCCTAGAAAAGGTTAGCTAAGGAACCTGTTGTCTTCAACAAGTCTCAATGAGTGCAGGGCGGGAGAGTTAGAAAGAAAAAGGTTTAAGATGAAATCTAGTTTATTATCAATGGAAGAGACATTTCAGAGATTGCGGTAGAAGGGTTGGGTAGCTTTAGAGTGAGAAGTTGGGGGCAGGGTTTTGGGTTGAGGAACCCAGCCCCATAAGGAACATGAGAATAAAGGAGTGGTCAGTGAGAGAACTGGGGATTTCAGAATCACTGAGTTGGGGTATGACTGGATGTAAATGTTAATTGTGGAATGAGTTCAAGTAGATTTTCTTGTCTATAGAGAAAGCCTTGTATGGAGTTGTCCCAGGGCATCAGGCAGCTATGTTTGGGGGCAGGGAGGTAGTGTGGAGGGTGCCAGGGCTTATGGAGCTCTGGGTAGTTTGAGAGGGTGCCTGGAGTATCATGGGAGAAAGCTTCATGACTGAGTTGTTGTACTCCCTCTCATGGAGTTTCAGGGAGGTTGCCTTCCTGCTGAGGAGTCTGAGATTTCAGTCTGAGGATGAGCCCTAGCTAGATAAAAATAAGTCATATTTCTATAATGCTTACATATAATTTCTTCCATAACAACTGTTTGAGATGCTTAATACAAGGAACCAAATCCATTTTAGAGATTCTAAGTAGTTAGTTTTCAATAAGGATGGTTGAACAGCTGGTAAAATGTTGGAGTTAAGGGACTTGGATTTGGTCCAGTGCACTTTGCACTATGCCATATTACTTTCAGTCAGATTGACATTGTCTTTGAGTTAGATACTGGCTGTTGTCTGGAATCCAAAGATCTCATATTGCTAGGAAAATTTTTTTTAAAATTTATTTATTTTTAGTTTTCAACATTCACTTCCATAAGATTTTAAGTTTTAAGCTCCCCCCCTCCTACTTTTCTCCCCCCCCAAGACGGTGTGTAGTCCAGTATAGGCTCTACATATACATTCATGTTAAGCATATTTTCCCATCAGTCATGATGTAAAGAAAAATTAGAACTAATAGGGGGAACCACGAGAATGAAGTAATAAAACAAAACAACAGAGGAAAAGAAGAACAAATAGTATGCTTCCATCTGTATTCAGACTCAATATTTCTTTCTCTGGATGTGGATAGCAGTTTCCATCATGAATCTTTTTGAGATGTCTTAGATTCTTGTGTTGCTGTGAAGAGCCAAGTCTATCAAAGTCAGTCATCCCATAATATGGCTGTTACTGTGCACAATGTTCTCCTCGTTCAGCTCACTGCACTGTGCATCAGTTCATGTAAGTCTTTCCAGGTTTTTTTGCAGTCTGCCTGCTCATCATTTCTTTCTTTTTTTTTAAATTTATTTTGAGTTATCAGCAATCACATCCATAAGCTTTTGAGTTTTAAATTTTTCTCCCTCTCCTCCCTCACCTCCCTCCCCAAGATGGCATGCAATCTAGGCTATACATATACATTCCTGTTAAACATATTTTCACAGTAGTCATGTTGTAAGGAAGAATTAGCATCAGTAGAAGGAACCACAAGAACAAAACAAGGAAAAAAAAGAGCAAATAGTATGCTTCAATCTGCTCTTCTCAGCAGCAATCTAGGCTATACATATACATTCCTATTAAACATATTTTCACATTAGTTATGCTGTAAGGAAGAATTAGAAGCAATAGAAGGAACCACAAGAAAGAGGAAACAAAACAAAATAGAAGGGAAAAAAAGAGCAAATAGTATGCTTCGATCTGCATTCAAACCCCATAGTTCTTTCTCTGGATATGGATAGCATTTTCCATCATGAGACTTTTGGAGATGTCTTAGATCCTTGCATTGCTGAGAAGAGCTGAGTGTATCAGAGTTAGTCATCACACAGCATGGCTGTTACCGTGTACAGTGTTCTTCTGGTTCTGCTGACTTCACTCAGCATCAGTCCATACAAGTTTTTCCGGGTTTTTTTGAAGTCTGCCTGCGCATCATTTCTTATAGCACAGTAGTATTCCATTACATTCATATACCACAACGTGTTCAGCCATTCCCCAATTGATGAGCATCCCTCAATTTCCTGAATTCTTGGCCACCACAAAAAGAGCAGATCATATGATCGGCTCATACATCGTTGCCCACCCTCTCCCTTGTTTTGTAACCACCACTCCAGCCTTATCTTTGCCAAATTAGGCAATCTTCTAGCTCCAAATGTATCTCTTAGTTTCTGGGTGGAATGTAAGGTCTCTTACCTCAACCAATGGGGATAAAGAGATTCAGGTTAAAAGGTGGGAGGGTGGGGTTTTCTTAGAATTGTTTTGTCTAGGGGTATATAACTCCTTGCTTGCTGCTTGTATCCTGCCTCCCTACTCCAGTGATGCTAGAATAAAACTTCTGTTTCTACTGAGAGAAACCTCTGAATTTTTATTTGGGTAAGTGGTCTCAATCCCAGTCATCATGTTAGCCAATCTGATAGGTGTGATGTGGTACCTCAGAGTCATTTTGATTTGCATTTCTCTAATTAATAGTGATTTTAGAACGTTTTTTCATATGACTGTAGATAGCTTTAGTTTCTTCCTCTGAGATTTGCCTGTTCATATTCTTTGACCATTTATCAATTGGAGAATGATTTGTATTCTTATAAATTTGACTGCTAGGAAAAATTCTTCTCACAAGCTCACAAATTTCTCATCATTTAGGAGCAGAAATGATTTGAATTTGGACCCTGAAGTAGGAATAGGAGACAGGGGGAAAAATAAACTCAGAAACATTTAGTGTGGAGTGTGTGACTTCTGTCTCCCCCTGGAGAGGTTTGTTTCTTTCTAGAACAATCTCAACTCTATCCTCAAATGTTAAGTTCCTGCTCTTCAAAAGCCAGAAATAGTGGAGGCATTATATACTTTTGGAAAAGATCAAGAAGTCAGAAAGAATGTAGTAGAGAAGCAGTAGGTTTTCCAGCAGTTCACTGTCTGCAGTGGAAAACAAAGTCCTAAGTAGATGCAATTTTAAAAACAAATTTGAAAAGTAGACCCAAAACTTCCTAGTAGGAACAAATTGTAAACAGATACAATGTTTTCCTCATTGTTTTAGGTGTAGGATCAGAAGCAGGGTTTATAGGTCTTCATTTGTGTCATGCAGTGAAAAGCATGCTGCATCCAGAGTTGGGAGGACTAGGTTTGAATCCTGGCTCTAACCCTAATTGTGTGACTGTGAGTAAAAAGCACACGGGGTTGAGAACATTTTTAAAATATTAAGGCATTATAAAAATGTGCGCTACTCTTTAGAAACTACTTTTAAAAAAAACCCAACCTTTTTTTTCCTTCATACATTTTTGTTTCTAGGAGCAGTGGCAGTGCCTGAATCACACTCAGAAAGAGCTTTATTGGGATGCTATGCTGGAAGATTATGGGAAAGTGGTTTCATTAGGTAAAAATTTGGAATAGTACAATTCTGGAGGGAGGATTGTCCTACTTGGGGCAAATGGGTCAAAAAAACTATCATGTGACTTGCTGTAAAGTGAGCAAAGCAGAAAGGAGTAAGTGACACTATGCCCTCTTAGAGCTATTATAGGTCCAGTTTGAAATTCTTCAGATGGAAGATCAGTTGAAGTCCAGCCATCTGGAGCAGTTCTAGCAGATCCTAGGCACTGAGGTAAAGTGGCAGGCAGAAATAGTAAATGAGGGCTGATTATATTAATCCTTGCATAGCCTTCTTGATTGTGTGAATCTGTTTAACTTCCCATTGGTCCTATTTCTTACACTGGGTACCAAACAGAATAGGTCTCACCTCTTAAATACAAAAGTCCTTCAAATATTTGAAGACATCACTTGTTTCTCCCTTACCCCACCTAAATTCATCTCTGTTCTTCCTTGTCTCAGCAATTCCCATTTCTAAACCAAACCCAACTAACCTGGTAGTTGGAAAGGAAGAGCCTGATGGATCACATTCTCATGCAGATGAAGCAATACCAAGAAGCATTTGCATAGGTGAGTGACACCTCACTCTTTCCCTAGCCATTTTTGTCTCTCCTTTGCACTCCCTACTTGCCCTAAACTTAAGAGAAGAATTAGATTTTTTGTTTTTACTTTTTTGTTTTTCTTTGGCCCTCGTGAGTGTGCTTTTTTATCTTTGAACCCTAAGGAAATCCTTGCCTCCAGGCCCAGAAACTGCTGTTGCATATGAGTTATCCTTTCTTTATTTTGAATCATCAGAAGACATAAAATACTTTTTTTGATATATCTGACACTGTTCTGGTGGGGTTTTTTTCCCCAGTAGGACTAACACAGGGCTTACTTAGCTAATAAAAACAGGTAAAATTCCATTACAGTGGTTTCTGTTATGACTATTTTTTTTTCCTGGCATAATAATCCATCGTCAACTGTTCTAAAGAAATTGAACTGGGAAGTAGCTGAGTGCTTGGTTTTCTGCAAAGAACACAGGACTTGAGTTAGACTAGTTTTTAATTTCTGAATACAGTATTTTGTAGATACATATGAGCCATGTTTTCTTTCTCTTAAAATGTTAGTAAAACTGTTTTACTGTCTAACTAAGGGTTATAAGTTAAGAGCTTTGTAAACTATTGTGCAACATTGTTGCCAGCTAGCAATTTGCCTTTATCCATCTTCACTCCTCTTCATTTACCTTCATTTTCTAACTCTCTAAAATATTTAATGAACTTCCAAACTACCTAGCAAAAAGAAAGTATACATTCAAATTTAGGATACTGAAAGATGAAAGACCTGGGGCTAGGGTGTGTGTGTGTGTGATGTCTTTCTCTTCATGGGTATAAAACACTTTTTTTCCACTTTCCATTCTACTTGCCACAAAGAGGTATTACCTTTGTAATTTTTCCAGATTATGAATGTGATTTCTACAAATTAGTTATCATAAAATTCTGCTAGCAATCCTAAGAATCTAATGGGATTTTGCCTACCCAGTGATTATTATTAGATAAATGCTTCTTAGCAAAATGAATTTTAAGGAAAATTGATCATTATTTGGATTGATTTTAAGCAACATGACTTAAGAGTCATCTCTTTAGATATTCTTTCAAGTCTTATTTTTTTGTGGGCCTGTATGCATTTTTAAGGGGAAAAATGAGAAAAAAAAACAAACTTGAGGGACCATTCCATTTAATATAGAAGCATAAAATAATACCAAGAGTAAAATTTAGGGAATACATGCCATCATAATGAAATAAGAGAATAACTAGCATAATAAATTAAGTTATCAAAATCCAGCTTCTGATGGAAATATCCACCCAGACTTCCTCTTATGCTACCACATACATACATATACACACATACCATATTGGCCTGAATATAGGCCACATTTTTACTCGAAAATCTGGCTGGTATTAAACCTGGGTGTTGCCTATTTTTATTTTTTGCCCATTTTCATGTTTTTATTAAGTACTTCTCTCTTTGTTTTCAGAATAACATCTATTGGTTCACCCCTGAGTGCCTTTGTAGAAAAGCCTTTTTGAATCTCATTGAGCTTGATAGCTCAGCTTCTTTTGAAAGCTGAATCCATACATATTTATTACCAGAGTTAAACACAATGATAAATTTAATATATAGTCATTCCATAGGAAGCAGGAGAAGGGTGATATGATTTGATGAAACTGTTATTTGGTGAATAATTATGTACATGTCTTCACCTCCTGCCTTCCCACTTAGTACTGAATCCACCTAGGACTGATAGTCCTGATATGGCTTGGAAAATCAGGCTTATTATGTTTATTGAATGACCTGTGTTGTTATCATCCTTCTTTCAGGAGACAGAGGGGAGAATGACAAAGAGAATCTTCACTTGGAAAATACAAGGGGCCAGGAATCTCAAAAGATCTCTTACCAGAAATGGCAAGCCTCAGAAAAGGTACCTTCACAGGCCCCCTTGAATGAATTCATTGAGGATGATCCAAGAAGCTTGGGAGTAAGAAAAGATTTTATTATCCAGGAGAGCCCTCAGGATAGAGTAAAGGTAGGGAAGAGCCTTCCTCTGGAAAGGAGTTTAGGGAAACTCCTAGGTCAACATTTGTCTAGTCCTGTGGAACAAGACTCCTCATGGAGAGAAGAGAAGAAAGAGGTCTGCCAGAAAGGCCAGCTACGAACCCTTGCAGGACAGAAGTATAATGTTACAAATAGATGTATAGACTGTGGGAAAAGCTTTGTTCGGAAATCTCAACTTGTAATCCACCAAAGAATTCACACTGGAGAGAGACACTACCAGTGTTCCACCTGTGGAAAAAGCTTCAGTCGGAGCTCAGACCTTAGAAAACATCAAAGAATCCACACAGGGGAAAAACCCTATAAATGTGATTATTGTGGCAAAGGCTTTAGTGACTTCTCAGGATTACGGTATCATCGAAGAACCCATACAGGCGAGAAACCATACAAATGTTCTATCTGTGGGAAAAGTTTTATTCAGAGGTCAAACTTTAAGAGACATCAGAGAGTTCACACAGGAGAGAAACCTTTTAAATGCTCTTGCTGTGGGAAATGCTTCAGTTGGAGCTCAAGTTTTGATAAACATCAAAGATCTCACACAGGAGAAAAGTCTTTTAAATAACCTAAGAGATACTCTAGGCATCAGTAGAGAAATCCCATTTCCAGTCCATGAAAAAAATTACTTAGCATACAGAAATACTTCAGAAGGAATTATACCCATTAATGGATATTCTTATTCTTGGAAATCATTTCCTTCTGACCGGATTAAAGAAGAGGGGCTAGAATATGTTTTATCAACCCTTATAAGCATGGATAATGTGGCTCAAGACTGTGGCTTTGCCTAGATTGCATTTTCCATAATGGGAAAAAGACTATGGGCCTCATCCCCCAACTAATTTTTCTTTGTTGCTTCTTGCATTCACTGGAATCTGTTAAGTCACACAATTAACTAAGATCACTTTATACCCTCATTCTTTCTGTTTCATTCCTCTGAGATGACAGGAATGGTGGTTGCACCCAGAAGGTCATCTTCGGGTATGTAGGTGGGCCTACAAACTATCATATGGAGTTTGAAGTGGTGAAAGGGTGTATAGGTGGTCTGCTTTACCAAGGCAAAGGTTGGAAAAGTTGAAGAGATGCAGGGCTCAGGAATGCCCTATATTCAAGTGAGAGTAGATCTTTCAGCAGAAGGAAAAACTTGTCTATGAATGGAGCATGAGGTAAGGAACTAGGTATCAGCGGGTAGGCAGGAGAGGGAACAAGTAAATACAGTCAGTTCCACAGAATTTATAACGATTTGAAATACTCTTTAAGTAGTTTTTTTGTAGGGAAGTAGAAGGTGAAAATTTTTTTTTTTTACAGGCTGGTCTCTCTCTCAAAAGACAGTTTTTTTCTCTTCATGTTCCAATTTAATTGTGAGTATAGGGATCAGTTTTTTGTAAATTTCCCTTGTATCCACTGTAACACCAAGGACAGTGCTTGCTCAATAAACACTCACCGTTGGTCTCTTTTGGTCTCATTATATTCATTTGTATCATTGCTAGTCTCAAGGTTTGGGGAAGATGCAGTCAAATAAGAAGTTAGTCAATTACATCATGTTGAAGTCATGTTCTCCCATCCACCCCTTCATTGAATTTGGGGAGTTCCTCAGGGCTTCTAGAATGTTAAAAGGGTAGGTAAAGGGCATGAATTATTGTTATTTGCAGTGAAAAGGACAGTTAATTTGCTTCTAGGTTTGTTCTCATCACATACCCAGCCTATCCAAAACCTCCTAAGGAGTTTAAGGAGTATAGAGTAAATGAAAGTAATGGTGCTCCAGAGACAAAGTTTTGAGTATTAAGTGTGGATGAATAAATGGTCTGAAGCCTTATTCTTTTGACCTTTAGGGGTAGCTGTCTGATGTCAGGACAGTATTTAGCTTTTCCTCAGTAGGGGAAATGCTTTCACTTTAGCAGCTGAAGCCATAAATTCAATCCTTAGATCCATTTTAAACACCTGCTTCCCTTTCTCGCCTTAGCCTATAGCCAAAGCAAGCTGCTTAGGAAATTTCCAGCATAGGCCTCATTGCCTTCAAGAGCTTCTGGCAGAAACTAAACCTGCAAAAGCAAGGCTACACCAGCTAGTATCCATTTGGATGGAGCTTCTTTAGTTTTCAGACCAAATGTCCAAACATAAGTGGGTCCCCGCTGACGTGTCTTGTATACTGGACAGGGATATGTACTTCGGTTGTCTTGCTTGTCCACAAGAACAGCTCTGATGAATATCACAGGCATGGGAGGAGTCAGATCCTTCAGTCTAGCGTCAGTAATGATTCCAGCCTGGGGAGAACAGAGCATAAGGATAGCCATGAAACTAATCCATCCCAATATCTATCTGCCAGAGCCACCAAGGGAAAGAGTGTGAGAAAGTATAAATATTTGTCCTGAGGTCATCCTGTCTGTCAATTTTATCTCCCCAATATCCATCCCTTTATTCCTACTGTTGTTACTCAAATACTGGCCCTCATTACTTTTCTACTAGACCAGGGGTTGTGAATCCATGGCCTTTAGGCCAAATGTGGCTTACCGCTTGTTTTTATATGGACTATGAACTAAGAATGTTTGTTTTATGTTACATTTTTAAATACAGTTTTAAGTAGTTTGCTGATCCCTGTCCTAGACTATTGCAATAACATGACATCCTCCTGCCTCCATTTTCTATTCCTTCTAATTCATCCCACTTAGTTTTTATGCATATATCTTGCCCAGAACTCTTTAGATGCCGTATTGCTTAGCATATGGATTTGAAATTCTGTTGTCTGGCATTCAGTGCCTACCACAATCTATACCTACGCTACCTTCCCAGCCTTATTTCATACTATTCCTCTCCGTGGACTCTGTATACTAACTAAACCAGATTACTTAGCATGCTCTGCATGTTCCTATCTCCAAGTCAGCTCATTGTATTTCATATTTTCCTCTTCCCCAATCCAATGGCTCCTCTCCATGTAAATTCTTATTTATCCTTTAAAGTCTTTGATCTTAAATATAACTTCTCCAATGAGGTCTTTTCATAACTTTCCAGTCATTGGTTACTTTTCTCACTAGAGACCTCATAAGCACTTTATAATGTATTTACAACATAATAATTTGTGTCTTATCCCACTGCTGGATTCTAAGGGGATATACTGTCTTATCTAAACTTAGTATTTCCCCTAGTGAATAGAAGAGTTTTCTGTACATATTTAGGTGCTTGATATTTGTGGAATCTTTTTTTAAAAGGTGAGAACATTCCCTACCCTTTTCTTTCTGAGTCCATTATGGAACTATCATGCATGAATTTACTTACATCTTTGAAAAAGCTCTTATGAACAGCTTATACCATGAGGAAAAATCATTTTTATTAGACCAGTGTCACAGTTTTGGATCTGAAAGGCTCCTCAGTGGCAATCTAATCCAACCTACACTAGTCTTTTTTTTTTTGTTGTTGAGCAAGGCAATTGGGGTTAAGTGACTTGCCCAGGGTCACACAGTTAGTAAGTGTCAAGTATCTAGTCTGAGATCAGATTTGAACTCAGGTCTTCCTGACTCCAGGGCCGGTGCTCTATCCACTGCGCCACCTAGCTGCCCCCACAAACTGGTCTTTGTTTAAAGATCTCCAGTCATTTTGAGGTATTCTTATTTTGAGAAAGTTTTTCCTTATATCAAGACTAAATTTGCTTCTTTGCAACTTCCATCGATTATTCCTGGTTTTGCTCTCTGGGGCCAAAGTGAATAAGTCTAATCCCTTTCCCACACAGTCCTTTAAGTACTTATAAGAGAGCTGTTGGCCTTCTTGACCCATCTCTTCTTCAGGTTAAACATTCCTAGTTCCTTCAGTCCTTGCTCAGAAAAGTCACACAGCTAGATAATCCCTTTCCGTTTGGTGAACCAAACTGCATGCTTGCTCTTATGAACAATTAAAAAAATACTGCCAAGGTTCCTAGAGGAACTTTTGTGCAGAGCAGCAGATTGGGTAAGTGTTTTAAGGAAGCACTCTAATGTGACTCTAAAGATTCTTTTGCTAGGTTGTAGCTCATTGTTTTTATCTTATAAATATTTCCTCCTGTTTTATTCAGGAAAAAAAAATATTTCCTGAAGGGAAAGTGGCCTCTGAACAAAGCAAATCCTCTGAGAAGCTGATAAAGATGGGTGAGTGAGGCAAAGCCTAAGTGAAATGTTCATGATAATGAAGGTGGACCAAACAGTGATCCCATTTCTTCTGAAATGATGAGAGGGAGAACAGAACTAAAACCCTCATGAATAACTTCATGTGGTGGGAAAGCATTCAATAGCAAGAAAAGCATATTAATACCATTTCTATAATATCGTCATTAGAGAATGGAACAACCACATTTGGTCTCAGCACATCAGTATCCAATATGCTGTATGAGGAAGGGAAAATGGCACTTAATAGTATTGGGAGCAGTGGCTAAATCTGACATATTGAAGAAATATGCTATGGGGTTTTCTTGGGAAAGATGTTGGAGTGGTTTGCCATTTCCTTCTCCAGTGGATTAAAGTAAATCAAGTTAAGTGACTTACCCAGGACACATAGCTATTAAATGTCTGAAGTTGGATTTGAACTCATGAAGATAAATCTTCCTGACTTCAGTCCCAGTGCTCTATCCACTGAGCCACCTAGCTGCCTCTATAAGATTTCATTGTACCTCTGTTCAAATAAAACCAGCTTCTTTGTAAACTGGCCTTCAAGGAAGATGACTTCAAAAAATTAAAAACTTGATTAATTAATTAATTAATTTGTTTTGGTGAGGCAGTTGGGGTTAACTGACTTGCCCAAAGTCACACAGGTAGTGAGTGTTGTGTGTCTGAAGCCGGATTTTAACTCAGGTCCTCCCAACTCCAAGGCCAGTGCCCCACTATGCCACCTAGCTACCCCTAAGACTTTGTTAATTTCACATATGTTTTGTTCAATTTTTATAGTAAACCAAAAGGATTTTTTCCCAGTAGCATTTCTTGTAGGGCAGTTGGGTTCCTTTAGTTTTATTCTGTAGTTTGTCTGGAGTTCCCTATGAACACGTCTGTATTCAGTCTCCCATCTCCAAGAAACAAACCACCTCTTTTTTCTTCCTCTTGCCCAAATTTACATTTTCGTTTTGTCTCTTCCAGAGGTTAGCAGTGTGCCATACATATAGATGCTGTTGTGTGAATTTCAGTTACTTGAGAAAGCAACTAGTTGGGAAGAAAGGTGGCAATACCACTAAAAGGATACCTGAGGTGTTCCAGACATATCATTAACTTACAAAATCCCTTACCACCATCAAGAGACTTAAGTTTGACTTCTGAGAAGGATTCCTTCTCTATACCTTCATCAGAGTGCCTTCTGCTCATCTACAACTTTTTTCCCTTCAGTGCAACCCTTGGTTTTCATTTTAACAAAAATTCACATACTTTAAAATGTTATGGGTAGGTCTGTAAAATTAATTTATTCCAAGCCCTATGCTTACCTTGTTGAGAGGTGTCATAGTATCATAATAATGGTTAACAGACTTGAGAAATGGAAATTTGTGATTAGTATGTAGTAGAGGCCATAATACATGGAAAAGAGATTTTGTTCTTTAACAATAACTGACTGCCTCTAACCCCTAATAGCATTCAGTAATATACTCTTCCCAGCTCTTTGTAACCCCTTCCTTAGGAATTTCCTTGTGACTCCAGCAGCTTATGGCCTCCAGTCAGTTAAACTTTCTAGGATAGAATGCCTTCTCAAGAAAGGGGGTCCAGGACACAATCTTAGAATTGTAGAGCTATAAAATTATGGTAGCAGGAACTTGGAGGTTTTTATAGAAGGGAAAACAGGCTTAGTCGAGCCATTATTAGGTTCCTACTATGTGCTAGGCACCCTGCTAAGTGCTGAGAATACAAAAGAAGGAAAAAAAACCTGCTGTCAACTCACAGCCTAATGGGGAGACAAAAAAAACAACTATGTACAAACAAGATTATAGCATGTCCCAAATATTTTACTGCAGTTTTAACCTTTAACTTTTAGGTCACCTTGTATGCAGGATAAATTGGGGTTAATCACAGAAGCATGACACTCAGATGAAGGAAGATTGGAAAAGGCTTCTTGTGGAAAGTGGGATTTTTTTTAGCCAGACTTGAAGGAGGCCAGGAGGTAGAGATTGGGAGGGAGAGAGTTCTAGGTATGGTAAGTAAGTACCTAGAGGGGGGAAGTAAGGTGTAAGAAGACTAGAAAGTCTTGTAAAAAGTAAGTAGACTGGAAGGGGCCACGGTGTGAAGAGCTTTAAAACAGAATTTTATATTTGATACCCAAAATCGTAGGAAGCCTTTGGAGTTTATTGAATAGGGGCATGACATGGTAACATCTGTGCTTAAGGAAAATCAATTTGACAGCTGAATGGGGAGAAAATTAAGGCAAAGAAACCAATGAGCAGGCTATTTCAGTAGTCCAATTATGAGGTAATAAGAGGACCTGCATCAGGGTGGTGGCAGTCAGGAGAAGGCATC